CTCATGCTAACCAGCCAAACCTTGACCCATTTATCCCTCCAAACAAGGCAGCTTTATCATCATCTCTGAATTTCCTGGTGTGGGTTTGATGAAGAGAGGCGTGCAAGTTTGCTCACCTCCTGCAAGGTGAGAGAAAATCATCCGGCACTGGGCATGGCTTTGAGGAAACAATGCTGCAATCACACCACAGAGAGCTGCAACAGAGGTCAAAGGTCAGAACAGATGATGAGAGGCAACAGACCGTTGATATGAGTGAGGAATACATTCCTTTGAAAAACAATGTTGAAGCCCTTGATATGATCAAGAGCAAGATGAAAAATAGCACAAAAAAATGGTTGCGTTTTTCTTTTTGGCAACGACTGAGTAAGGAGGAGGCACATAAATACAGTTGTCCCAAAAGGTATTTGACTTGAATGGTAATGCGTTATATATCAAAACATATTTTCAAAGAAACATAGCACAAACACACATTTCAAGCAAAACATTTAAGAAGTTAGTTTTAAATCATACAACAATAAATATGTTGTCCAAAAAGTTCTTCTGGATTAAATTCACACTACACACTTTCATACTTTATAGAATGTACTTTTTTAACGGTTGCAAAGTAATGACTTATTCAAAAGAAGTGCCTTCTTAGAGAGTGTGTGATTTCACATACAGCCATGATATTAAAATAACTAAAATAACTATGAAAAGTGAAGTTACTTCTAAGAAAAGGTAATAATTTGTTAGCAGATGCCATTTGGTTTGATATTTCACAACTAGCACAATGACATTCATTCATTTTGTTGTGTGACTTAAGTGTCCAAACACTTTTTTGGGGACACAGTATATCTACTGAGAAGACTGAAAATCTCCAGATTTCACTGTTAACGGAACAGACTGAAAGTGCTCACACTGATCCAATAAGAAAGTCTGCAAATGAGATGTGGCTGTACAATCACATTAAAGTAAGGAAATCAAAGATACGCCAGAGGATGAAATACACATTGCTTAACTGGGACAGTACACAGGTCAGTTTTATGTGAAGTGAGCAATGGGCAATCTCAAATTTACTGCTGAAAACTAATTATGTTTACCATGTGTCAAATATGACATATGCCATTATTACAGTCCCAATCAAAAACCAATAAAATGAAGGGGGGAAAAAATGAAATAATGGCTGAAATGAAGATTAAAGCTGGTCTTAAATTAAATAAGAGTCCCTGGCCTCAGGTTTTTTTTTTTTTTTTTTTAGT